TTCGATGTCTACGTGTCCCAGGTTGCCGATGACGAGGTCCACATAGTGCGCTCCGTAGTTTTCGATGTTTACGTGTATTAATACCTTGAATTCGATGTCCACGTGTTCCAGGTTGCCGATGATAAGATCCAGATAGTGCGCTTCATAGTTTTCGGTGTCCAAGTGTAATTGTACGTTGAATTCGATGTCTAGGTGTCCCAGGTTGCCGATGACGAGGTCCACATAGTGCGCTTTGTAGTTTTCGGTGTCTACGTGTATTAATACCTTGAATTCGATATCCACGTGTCCCAGGTTGCCGATGACGGGATCCAGATAGTGCGCTTCATAGTTTTCGGTGTCCAGGTGTAATCGTACGTTGAATTCGATGTCTAGGTGTCCCAGGTTGCCGATGACGAGGTCCACATAGTGCGCTTCGTAGTTTTCGGTGTCCAGGTGTAATAATACGTTGAATGCGATGTCTAGGTGTCCCAGGCTGCCGATGACAATGTCTAGATAGTGAGCTCCGTAGTTTTCGGTGTCTACGTGTATTAATATCTTGAATTCGATGTCTAGGTGTCCCAGGTTGCCGATGACGAGGTCCACATAGTGCGCTCCATAGTTGTCGGTGTCTACGTCTATTAATATCTTGAAATTGATGTTTAGGTGTCCCAGGTTGCTGATGACGAGGTCCAGATAGCGCGCTCCGTAGTTTTCGGTGTTTAGATGTAATAATACCTCGAATTTGATGTCTACGTGTTCCAGGTTGCCGATGACGAGGTCCACATAGTGCGCTTCGTAGTTTTTGGTGTCTAGGTGTATTAATAACTTTAAATCTGAATGTAGGACACGTAGATATCAAATTCGAGGTATTAATACACGTAGACACTGAAAACTACGGAGCGCACTATGTGGACTTCGTCATCGGCAACGTGGGACACCTAGACATCGAATTCAACGTATTATTACACCTGGACACCGAAAACTATAGAGCGCACTATCTGGAACCCGTCATCGAATTCAAGCTTAATTCATAAGAATCGACTTAAAAATTCCCTAGCGGCAGAATTAAAATTATGTCATGACATAATAAAAATTCGCTGAATTAAAATTATGTCTAGACATAATAAAAATTGGATGAATTAAAATTATGTCTTGACATAATAAAAATTGGATGAATTAAAATTATGTCTGACAAAAATAATTCCGCATTTTTATTGTGTATACACATAATTTTAATTCATACAATTTTTATTATGTGTACACATAATTTGTTTTCGAATGAACGTAAAACGTATTTGTTATAATATCCATTATTGAAATTCGATGCGCGACAAAAGCTCTTGTATATCATTAATTATGTTACTATTTATTATATATATATATTATTATACTTGACAAGAATGCGTGGGATCAAATTCTTTCGCCATTGTTACATTAAAAATAACTTACAAAAATTACAGATTTATCGAGGTATTTATTTCACGAAAAACTAGTCCAGAAAAAATAATAAAGTACATGTATATAGTTTTCTAATTATAATCTTAAAATTATAAGTCAAGAGACACGGTAGAGTGTCTCGCGCCATCAAACATGAGAAAATCTTATGATAAATATATATAAATAATACTCGGATGTGCTCGCACGTGCAAATCGTCGGTAAATAATACTCGGATGTGCTCGCACGTGCAAATCGTCGGCCTATTTCTCGATCTCTTGGTTTTTATGATCGCGTTTTACGTGCTCGAATGCATTAAAAAAAATGAGAAAAAATGACATATAACATAAAAAAATGGCACAGCAGTTTCACGGAACCGTATCACGCGGTAATCTAACAGCTTTTTCAAGAGACACGGTAGTGTCTCGCGCCAAGTACACGCGAAGCGAGACCGACTGTGACTCTTTTACGCGACGCGACGGTTTGCGAGTATACGAGATGTTGAGATCTCGATAACGAGTGAACGGATCAAGTTCTAAGTAGGCTTGATCGATAGCTTGGGGTCCAATTAGGGAGGGGGGTTTCTCTTATAATATTCCGCTACGTGCCCTACGAGCGGAGATATTGCGACGCAAAGTCCAAATGTGAAAATTTTTTATTAAGATACTTCCTCCTCCTAACGCCGATATATGTGATGACGTCATAATCAGAAACGTCACTGTCACTTTCACTTTTTCGACACTGGCGGCTAGCGGCGTTAGTATCGCAGTGCAGTGCAGTGCAGACAGTGCGTTCGTTTAGCGCGCTGTCAGTCAGTTCATCATCACTTAACCTATCTCGATCGATCGAGATATCGCAGTGCAGTGCAGTGCAGACAGTGCGTTCGTTCAGCGCGCTGTCAGTCAGTTCATCATCACTTAACCTATCTCGATCGATCGAGAGACACGGTAATACGCGCGGAGCGAGACCGACCGTGTGACTCTTTATTACGCGACGCGACGATTAAATTCAACAAGGTAATTGTTTTATGTAATTATCTGTTGTACTTCGAAATCACTTATCTCTCTTATCTTCCTTCTTTTTACGTCTCCCTTTCCTTTGATGTTACTTAAAATTTGTAACTTTTCCATTTTTACTGTTAGTAGAAAAAACATTAAACATTTAATTAAATTTTATAACTTATTTTTTAAGACAGTTAACTAATTATTATCTGTATTACTTAGGCGGAGTTTTTGGATGCAATGAGCTCTCAATCGCAGTCGGATACTGAAGAGACTGAAAATACAGGATCTAATTCTACCTACCGGATTGTGGAGGCAATAGAGATTGTGAAGCAGGAATTTGACAGGAAGGAAGACGAAGACTGCAGAGGATATATTCAGTAATGATATTATGATACCTCGCCAACCCAGTCAGTACGAAAGAAAGGCGGGAGAGTAAGGAGAAGAGCAGAAGAGAGATAGAAGAGGAGGAGAAAGAAAAGATGCAGTACGTATTTGACGTCTTACAAGTTTATGTGCACGTATAACAAGTTTATTGCTTGACTATTGAGAATATATTTTTGAAAACTTTTCTTTTACAGAGTACTAGTATCCAACTTCACTGAAGATCACGTGGACAGATACGAGATGTACAGACGATCTGCATTTCCAAAAGCAGCTATAAAGAGGGTACGCACCTTATTTTTAGTCGTTATTTACAAAAGAAATAGCCATTCCATTAAAGAAGTATTATACTAAATATGTTTCACAGATTATGCAAACCATAACAGGCTGTTCAGTGTTTCAGAACGTTGTCGGGTAGCTATGTTGGGAATTGCTGAGGTATTTGTTGGCGAGATTGTTGAAAAAGGTACGAGCTCTTTTTTATAAGTACGGTTAGAATATTGGAATTTAATTCTAGATTATATTGTGCTTGTTGTATAGCTTTAGATGTTATGGAGGCCCAGAATGAAACCGGTCCATTACCACCAAAGCACTTGAGAGAAGCTGTCCGCAGATTAAGACTGCAGGGTCAAATACCGAAAATTATTAATATATGATTCTATGTAAATCTATATAAAAGTTTAATTATCAAAATATGTAATAATTTTCGAAATATGTATTATTCTGTAGGAACATAATTATATATAAAAATATTAGTCTTTTTTAAAAAATAGTGATAAATTGTAGTACAATCACAAAACTTGGACAAATTAAAGATATTTTAATATAAAAAAGGAAGACAGTGTAATACAGTAAAAATATAGCAAACTACAGAACAAACTAAGAGCTGTTTTATTATATTGTTACAATCTATATTTTTCATCCTGTTTGCAAGAATATTTTTTTTAATGTCTCTGATTTTTATTTAACTATGAAAACAAGATAATAATATATTCTCTGATCGATAAAAAAAAATTTAAATATTCTCTCTCTTGCGTTTGTTCCAGATACCGTGTTTATACAGTTTAATATCTTATTGTTTTGTATTCGTGTGATTTCATTGTATTGTGAATTTAGACACAGAGTACGGAGTTTTTTATCGATATTTATACATAACCGCACGATATGAGAATCTGAAATATGATATACAGTTACATAAGATAATATATAAATAAAGGAGTATACAGTTACATAAGATAATATACAAAGGAGTACTCTAACGGGCAGTACATTAGGTAGTGCAATAAACAATACAATAAAAGTATTTCTTACTGATTTTATTTTATTAATTACAGCTAATCTCTCACTCTCTTTCTCACGTTCTCGCACGCACCGTTCAAAAGAAGTAAATCTACGACGTACAATATATATTTATGTTGTGTTTGTATATGTCTATATGTGTGTTCCGCAAAGTTTTTTCAAAAAACGCAATAGAAAAAAAAAGAATAAGTATTCGCATATTTCGCTTTATTTTTTTTAAAGCTAAAAATAATAAATCATCACTCCATTCATAATAAATCATCACTCCATTCATAAAATTTTGAATCGATCCGAAACGCGAGTAAACAGTATTCGGCAGAACGCGTGATATCTCTTTTCACCCTCGTCCCGTTCTGTATGTCTTACTGGCAGTGCCTTAGATCACGTGCACGACGAAATTTGGCAGTGCGCGATACATGAGCGCTCGGAGAGAATATCACCGATCTTAAAGAAAACTATAAAAATTAAATAATTATTTTTCTAAATTAAAAATAAATCATCACTCCATTTAGATTTAGAACACAGATTCAGGACGCGAATAATTAATTGTTCCAAGTTCACGGAACGTATTGTCCAAACGAAAAATTAAATTCAGCTTACGGTATAATTTTCAAATTAACTTGCAAAGCGTTATGTAAATGACTTTCTTTAGGAACGGAGATATAGATTCGAAGGATGTGCAAATCCGGGAACAGTGGCTGCGGCT